ACCGTAACCGGGAAGTCCTGACGCCGGAAGGTCAACCGCTGTCATCTGTATGGCAGGTGCCTGCATGGCAGTGGAGGATGGGTAGGGCTATATCGCAGTTAGCTAACAATTCGTGATGGTCGGCTACCGTCCTCCATGGTGCAGTTGTTTCAACTCCCTGATCGCTGTCTAATGTTCAGTTTGTAGACAGCACCACTGGCTTATCGGCGTACACAAGAACTGGTTCCCAATATCTACCAATTTCGTCCGAAACCAACTCGCATCTTCCGTGGACCTTGACGCTAGGCAATCAATTCGGTTGCCTTGGCCTTGACTGTGAGATTTTAATCGGTGTTGCTTGTTTTTCCAGGTATATAATCATATGTGTGTTTCTGCTTTATCGTGCCTGTGACTAAAGAGAACAATCGAAAAATTGACATATCGAAACACATGTCCTCTTTCTGTCTTGACGTAATGGACGCAAAGTGAAGACGTGGTCGATGCTGCCTCGACCTCGACGAAACCCGGCTTTCACGAGTGCCAGTCCGTCTGTGATGGAGGACAGAGGCAAGCAATTAGGAGACGATGGAGATCAGATTGATTCCACTACGGTTGCCGCCTTCCGACGGCGAGTCTCCCTTGGAAATTGTGACTATAACAAAGTGTCTACAGTCTCTCTGGACAGTTTCCTGCTCTCAAAGTTTCACTAGTAACTCGTGTGAATCATCAACAAGAGCAGGGACCCGAATTGGAAGAGGGTTGGAGAAAGATCATCTGATACCGCGGCTTTGTTCAACTTCGGCAGTCCGATATCATGTTAGACTTCTGAGTGAGAGAGAGTGCATCCAAAGAGAAAGCCCAGAGAGCAGAGCGATCAGTGAGCGGTGAGAAATCCGACAATTCCGGCCGATTAAATTGTCTTACAAAGTGTTCAGCCCAACGCTCCAAGCGTTTTGCCAAGTTGTGGATAGGCAGTCCACGCTCGCACGTATAGTTTCAATAAAGCCAGGTCTCCTGCTACCCGTTTCCCGTATCAGACGGAATAACTTCCGATGGTTACCAAAGGCAGGGGCCACTTCCATCTCCGACATACGATGAGACTACCAAAATTCAAGGTCTCTCTTCAGACTAGCACAGAGTTTTGCCCGGAGGTTTTTGCGGGTCTCATTGTGGTCGGTTAAAACCGGAATGTGCCAACGAGCATCGATAAGTTCTAGAGATTGTGAAGAAAGCCAAGGTTGGCTATTAGACTTACCACACGAGGATTTGCCTGCTGGTAGTAAGGTTTGGTGAACATGCGACCAGTGACCATCAACTGCATTCACTGAGCGCTTGCTCAACCCGTAAGTCAGTGTACTTCGATACGCATTCAGAACAGCTGGCTTCGCCAGTTGGCTGGTTTCAATACGCTCACACGGTCGTCGTGAACGTCCGCCAAAACGCACCCGCAGATCAGCACATACAAGTGCACGATCAGTGCCCACACACGTGCACCAAATCGAGCGACAGTTCGGGACGCAGCCTCACCAGCGGAAACTTATTGCAATGTGATCGATTTGCGTCCAACACTGGTGGGCGCCATGTCACCTTTTGACGGGTGCTGTGTCGGAAGTTAGTGCTCGTAAGAAATAAGCGAGCATCTTCACACAAATGAAGTAACCGCTCACTGTTATCTTTACGGGAGCCTACACCATGTGAGTCGCCCAGACACATCTAATCAGTGAACGATCTCCCAACTTAAGCGCTCAGATCCCAACCAACATTACAGTGCCTGTTTTTCCTGTGGCGAAGGAGCTCGTTCAGTTGACGATAGAAGTCGTCTTTCACCGAATCATCGCTAGTTTGTGGGGGTGTAGGCAGTGATAACAAACAGACACCTATTAGCCACGCGCGACTTCGAAGCTTTGAAAGATAAGGTCAATCGAATCGCACACATCCGGCCACTAATTGAGATCGAATCCAGAGCAGCTTCAGCCCGGAAACTCAAGGCGATACCAACACCTGCCTAGCCGGTGCTCGAAGCTGCATCGTCACCGAATAGGCGCAATGAGAAAGTGTTGCTGGTGTCACCTGAAGGGGATCGCAAAGTGAGCACAGAGCTCGAGTCTTGCAAGCGGGTTTCCGATAGGCAGCACATATGGATTGAGTGTGTCTCTAATGTTCGGGCAAGTGTCGCCTGTTGATCGATCTGTAACAATGTGCGTACATTGAGGCATGTCAATCTGAGGGAGGATCGGGGCTCTAAATAGAAGCCAATGAACTGGGCTTGACCGCTTGGTTAGACATGGGCTTGTCGATAGGGCAAGAGAGACGCTCCGCGTTTGCATGTGAGTTGAAACTAAAAGATAAACGCCTATCAAAACACGATGGGGGAGGGCCAAGAATTGGGGGTTTGTAAACGGTGGGGGATAAAAGTGAAGTTGCAACGGGACGATAAGGCTGAAAAAGCGTAAGTGGGTGAATAAGAAGACGGGAACGATTGAGCAGTAGCATCCTAACCCCTATCCATCCTGTCGATGCAGCAGATAGGGCGCCGTTGATTATCGTCTGCGGTGGCCAGGGCATCAGGAAATTGTTTGAGGAAAGATTCATCGTGTAGCTTGGGCAGAGTACTGTCAGGTCGCCCAGGGCTAGACAGGAGAACAATTAGGGTTCTCAATCAAAGCCTTTGGTTCAAAAACCTGGCCGCAAGACAGCGGGTTTGGCACTGGACTACAAGGAGTCCGTTTTAAGGAATAAGGAGCCACCCTTATTCCAACCCCTAACCTGGAGGATGAGTTTGTCTAGCCTCTAACAACTGACCAATCTGGTATGAGTGGCACTGAAGATGCAAAAGAGCACCACCCAGCATAGCTAAATGGATCGCTGAGGCATGCAAACAATCGCGCCACGTTAAGGTCTAGCCGCATTGCGATGAATAGTGTTAATGATAAATAAAAAATCAGTCATTTGTCAATGGATCAATTGTTCTGGATGCTTTTGCGCGGCAGTCAGACAACATACGCCTCATAACAATCAATGGAGCACTAATGCAAGATGTCCTTCTTAGCAAGAAAACACGAGAAATACACCTCGAACCGCGACAGGTTTTGCTTCGAGTATGTGTTTCGGCAGATTGTTCCAAACCCTTATCACTTACCACTCGAACCATACAGAATGGAGGACTCACTTCATATTCAGTGCTACAAGCTTAAACCAATGTCCATGTGTGATGAGTGCTGGGTGGAGCAACGATCTCAACATGTCAGTCGCTGAGATGTAGAGTACAGGATGCCACAATGAGATTCACTGGTACCCGACAACAAGATATAGTGTACAGCGCTAGTGTCGCGCACCTGCTTTCGCACGGTACACATCGTAAACTGGATATGAGCCTGTTAGACCCGTATGATAGTTTGCATCTCATATGGGGTAATCGGACATCAAGTCGCCATCATCATCATCAACAGCAGTACAACAGTCATTTGAACTGATGCTTCGCTACCGTACAACCACAACGACCTACGGAACAAAGAATAATCAGAGATAGAGAAGGGAGACATACCGGAAAACCTTAATACCCTAAGCAAACATTCAGATTCAAAGCGCCTATACCTTGTCAACAACGTACCGTCACAAACAGCTGGCTATTGTGCAAAGATAAGGCGGCATCAGCGAGACAGCCTCCATGCGGTTTTTGCTGCCCCGCGTCATAATCAGCCATTATTCTGCAGATAACTCAGCACCAAACACCGTTGAAAAAAGCAGTCCGACTAAGAGACAGCAGCAGACGCCCCACTGGTGTCGATTGCGAACTATGTCCTGTAAAATCTCGAGCCAAGCGCAGGGCGAGTCACGTGGACTCCAGCCTGGAAGATGAGACGGACCAACAGCACCCAGTTTGGTCGTCAGTGAGTTTATTTCCCGCTGCCAAGTCAACATTTGTCCACCTCGAGACTTGTGCTACCTCTGGCTACATCTGGCAAACAAAACAGGGCGCTCTACGGTGAGCGACGATCGGGTGTACGTAGTACGTGACAAAGCCAACGCAACTTATTCATTGCTATCTGTTGTTCTAAGGAACTAGCCTGATAATCACCGCCTAACACTTACGCATATCATCATCAGTCGTACTAGAGGCAACCTCCCTGGATCTTACTGGATTGATCGGGGTTTGGAGTTGCGCAGACTACCTGAAGAGGTGGTGGATGCTTTGCTGAAGTAGACCGTAGCCGTCGGGAGTAATAATCACTCACTATATCTTCAGGTTGTCCACAAGCAAAGTACACGGTGACCGGAAAAGAAAGGCGCCGACAGTACGCGCGTACCTCATGCCAACGGTTTGCTATCAAGTAAACACGAACATTCACTTGCAGACAGAAATACAGTGTAGTCGGCGTACCAAGCAGGCTCGGATCGGTGATCTGTATGAAAAGCAAGCCGGACACTTGAACCAATTAACTGGCGAATGGAAAAGCGAGAATAGCTCGTCAGGGTGCATGGGGAATAATATAGGTCTCAGCGAGGTAGCTTGATATACACGACTTGTCAGGGGATATCGGTTATTTAAATGGCCATCGAGCTGTATGCTTCGCATTTGTTCGACAAGATGCAGTGTAAACGAGAAAAAACTGAGAGCAAGGGCATCTTCCATAAGGAAATAAACTAGGAAAAATACAAGCCGTGAGTTGCGCGCATAAAGTCAAACTGATGTTAGCTACCATAACCTGTTAATGATACAGATGAGCGAAAAAGCACAGACAATACGACCAAGCTTCGCCTTCGCATATGGGATACCGCGCTACAACCGGTCTATCTTACAAATAACCTGTCAATCAATATGAAACTATAACGATATTATTACCGAGGTTGGAGGGATAAGGTATACTGCCTAAGTCACGTGCGAAGCAATCGCAGAGTCAAAGGTGCTCACACAACAAGGAATCGTACGTGCGAATGGAAACCGTTGCGAAAACGTTGATGGCATAAACGGAAGACAACTGTTTAAAGTAAAATAATAGTACGGAGCATATTTGTCTTACCTGCATTTCCCTGATCACATTTCGTTGTGAGCCAGTTGCAGTAACGGGTGGTGTGCTTGAGGCTGGCTCCTGTTTGACTGGAGGTGCTTGCACATCAGGAGACGGAGAAGGTTCTGGTTTCGGACCAGGAGGATGAAGTAAAATGGGCCTGATTGTGGAGGTTGGGACAGCTGATCGCACTATCGGACTGGATGAAGCCAGTTTAATGGACTGTGAAGCCAAAGGGGTTATTCGAATGGTACCTGTGGTACCGCTGCTAGTAATGGTAGCGATACCAGGGGAAGCAGTAACTGGTCTTATAACGACGACTGGCGGGGTTCCGGCTGATGTGCCAACCACTGTGGCAACCCGGGGAAGGGACACCAACGGTCTAGCGGGTGAGTCAACATCGGGTCTGAAAAAAACGATAGGTAAACAAAGTAACTAAGAAAATGATTTATCAAGGATACAAATACCAGCCCCAAAGTAATGCCGGTAGAATCGATAGAAAAACCTAATAAAATGCATGAATAGTCTAGGCATAAGGCTCAGTGAAGTGTAGTCCTAATAGTGTTCTGGATGAAAATGATACCTAGTGTGTTTCAAAGTGGCAGTAATCGCAGGTAAGCGAGATAATGCCTCCTACGATTTGTGAGCATTGTTAGCAAAACATTCGTGGATCATTGAGCGTCTCTTATCAGCTACATAGTAGATGTCCGTTGAATACGAGTCTCATTATTACCACAAGCGCATCACCGTTAACAAAGCACCTCATCAATTTGCATTGGAGGATCATGGAAGCGAACGAAACACTGATAGGTTCGGAGGAACTGTACGCTGCTTAACACGTCCCCAAGTTGCATATCACGGAATGGGTTATTTTGTGGAGATAACTTAATTGGTCTCGTGGTTCAGATGTTCGCCGGGCTTGGCAATTTGTTCGCAAACAAATTGAAATGAAGAAGCAGTCATGGATAATCCACGGCAGCGTAGTAGAGCGTTGGAGGTTATGGTCGCGTGGTTCACTGTTACATACTAAAAGAGCGCGAATGGCACTGTGTCAAAAGCAATGTGAAGGGCTATAGGGTACCTAACGGAGGGCACATGAACAACCACGATGGGCACCGGCTTCTATGCGAACCTCGAACACTATGAAGGCGCATGCGCCATCTGACTGTCAATCGCATTCGCGTATCACCACCGCGAGCTTCGTGGCCTCGGTGCTGGTTACTTTGGCACTTTGAGCACCCATGGCAATTGGTTTCTACTCAAAAGTCCTTTGATAGCCAGTCCTAAACGATTCGCGATACATATATATAGCGCCGCTACTTTGCTGGTCAGGTGTTTATGACTTAAGGCTCCGAGTAGGGTTATGTAAGCCAACCTTCCTTCTAAATCTAGGCAACCGGGAAATACTATGCTTACATGACCTGTTTCGACGATTCTCTACTCCCTCTCTCTGCTCCCTGAAGATGTTAACGTCGACTGTGCTAAAAGCCGAATCTGCTGAACCGCGCTCCACTGAATCGCTGTCTAATTACTTTATGCCACGTTTGTTAAATCCTCCCATGTTTACTGACCATCTCCGTTTCCAAATCCCGCCACCTTGGGCGACAGTTCTCGCCGCACGGACCAGTTTAAGTCAGAAGGTGCGCCGCGCAGTCGTGCTTGTTAGCATACTCTAATGCGTCGTTTCCAAATCAAGCTACCTACTTTAAATGCTCGGAGATTGATCCAGATCGGGTCACATGTAGCCACTGCTCGCACTAGAAACCACTGCCGTTAAAATTCGCTGTCTCAAGAGCGGAGTACAGGACTCCATTAGAACGATTGAGTATTCCGCTGGCACTTTCAAATCGCAATTATCTAGAAATGCGCCTGCTGAAGTCGATGGCCATGACGACTTGGGGATTGCGTTGAGCACGTGTTGGCGCGGCGCTAATCGACCGGATACCGCTTGGCAGACAACTGCGCGACTCAATTAGAGACATCAGTACAACCGATCTACCGTGGGGGCTGCAGACCTGGCTTGGTCGTTATAGAGGCACATACTCCTATAGACCGCATCCTAGACACAGTTACAGAAGAATTTTACTGTTAACTAGTCGGCCTTCAAGCGGAGCGTCACACTGATATTGCGGTGCTTTCCGGAGACCTAAATGCGCAAGTCGGTAGATTTATAGTTAACAAACTCGAACATTTGCAGGACAGACGAGGCTGATCCAATACTGCAGTATAGTGCTGATCATGGCCCATTTCTCTTGGGTAGCAGCTTTCGGCAATTTGTTACTAACGCGTAACTTGGCAATCTGCGAACTCGGTCTGTAAGTACACTGTCAATCATTGGTCTCAACACGGTCTCTCCAACATCTCAAAGCCTGTATGGCAATTCGCACTGGTATTGAGGATCATTCACGGCGCAGGACTATCAACTCTGAACCTAAGCATCTTCTCCGGGAAGATCGCGAAGTCTAGCTGACACAACGGGTCATTGATATGGGACAAGTGGCCACCACGGGAATTTCCGCGAGATTTCCCTCATGATCCGACTTTAATGTCAGCAAAAAGGCAACTGTAAGCGAAGTTTCAGTTTGAAACCAGTGGTGAACCAAATCGTTAGTAATGTCGACTTATGCGTTAGGCTAAGCACTTCTAACAATAGGTTAACCGGCCAAAAGAACAAATGAGTTCCCATTCAGAAATCCACAATGTTAACTGGTGTGTGGACGCGTTATTCCCACCTGCGGCTGTAGTTGCTTATGTGCTTTGCCTTCTGAAACGCTACAAAGCCGATGGTCCAGAAGAACTACTTTCGGATATTGTCAAAGATGGATGCTAACCACATACTTGGGAATCAACCTACTTGGATCACGAAAATGCTCACGTTCCAATGGAGTCTAGCGATGCAATGCCGGTTTAAAAAATGGTAAGCGGACGGTCTACACTAGTCCATCGATGGAGTAGTCTAATTTGCGTTGCTTCCAACTTATTATCCGCGCCAATTCTAAGAAGGCCTAGCCTGGTGCGTGAAGAAAACACACGCGACAACATCTCAGCGCACCGTCAACTACTAAAGCGGAAGGCCAACAACCGTTGTTTTCTTAGACATATGAGCCAAGGTTGACTCCGTTGATCGAGCTACTCTCTGGGATTGTGTTCAAAAAAGAGGAGGGCCAGAGAAGTAGGTCCACATTCTTTAAGTTATTAGTTCTCAAACCCTGGGCCGAGTGCGGATGTGTGGCGAAATTTGCTGCTCTTCAGCATCACCAATAGCGTGAGAGAGGGCTGCCGAGCATCTTCCTAGTCAACTTCGCAACGGACGGTATCCTGGAGAGTGATTTGGCCAACCACAAAACCAGTGGCGTTGGGCTGTTTTCGGGGTATCAAGTTCATCATTCATAGTACGTACGCGACATTGTCGTAATTTTTGATTCGTTGTAGAGTGCACAAAACATATAGCTTAGCTTGGAGGTGGCTATCTCACAGTTGGGAATGACCTTCGCCGTTTACCGAAAGGACCGATCAAGACATGTCCCTACTCTCACGCTTTCGAATTATCCGTTAAAAGTGGTCGGCAAGTTCGCTTTCTCCAGGAGCTGCCTCAGTGTTAACGGTTTAACGAACGTGGTCTATGTGTGTCTCTGAGGTCCGGGTTGCTCTTGTTGATCTCCACCATACCTGGCGTCGACGTGATCGTAGTTTTTCTCTGAAAGGCCGAGTCTATAATGCCACGACGAGAGAAGTCCTGCTCTGTAGCTGCGACACTTGGCCTGTTCGCATAAAATAGGTTCCGAAGATGTCTGCTTTTTATCATCGCTGGCTTCAGAGCATTGCTGATGTAAGATGGTTAGGTCACATCAGCGATGACGAAGTTCGCCGAAAGATTTTCAAAGCAGACAGACTCTGTCGACCGTTGAGCTGCGTAATTTCACTGCACTGGCAAATGTGGCT